GACTGCCAAGGCCAACTGATATCATATAAACCATCCAACATGTATCAAGTTTTTTACTTTCTGTTTCCTGTTTCTGTTATTATTCGGTTGCATTTGACAATTGTAGTGCCTTATTGATAACACAGATGTTTCTGGCTTTGGGTTCGGCAGAAGACGGATAATAGAACAACCATTTCGAAGCACAAATATTCGAAGCTGCAATTCGAAATAAAAAACATGATCCAACAGTTCTGCTGCATATGTATCCTCAAAGAAGAGAACAAGTCACTTGGAGAAGAAGAGGCTGATGGAATGGCAAGTTTGACAGGGGGATGATAACTGCGCGTAACTTGCCAACAACAAGAAATCAACCCAATTCGAAATGCTAATTGCCAACGCCGCACCATTGTTTCCTAGTCCAAATTTAAAACACAGGGTCCAACAAACACTCATGTGAAGAAAATCTGTGACTCCAGAGCTGATCATCATTGGAAACACATTGTTTTGCGTCTGTAAAATATCTGTTGAGGCATTGGAGGAGGCTGAAGGCGAACAGGCTCGGAATTATCCACCGGTTGAAGGTTCCTGCTTCGGCGGATATCTCGTGGTTTTGGCCAGGAGCCATGAGAATGGTGCTTGTGTAAAACCAGATGAGAGCTAAGGGAATGCTTACTGCTAATAATGTTTGCATTGCTCTTTGCATGTGGACTCCAAGCATGTGGTACTGTTTGGCTCCATAGGCTTGCCCAAATAGGGTTTCTTATGCACTTCCAATTCCCAACTGTGAGACATGTGTGATATTTTTTATTGAAATTGAATGAAAATTATCAAATTTTAAAGATGCGAGAAAATTTAATTAGAATAAGAATTACTTCATCAGTTTCATTCCTACCACAACTGATAATGTTAGTGAACAATAATTAGAGTTTGTTTGAAAGTGTTTGGAATAGTTAATGTCGATTTCAGATAATTAAAAAAACTTCTGATCATGTTTGACATAAAAATTTGAAATGCTCGTATGTTTTAAAAGTACCATTAATCACTTAAATTTTCATCAAGTATTTTGTCGTGCTTTCTAAATAAACACTTGAAAATTATCAGCATAAGTGTTTTTCTTTTAGAAATATTTCTAAACGGGCTCTTAAAAATAAAAGCATTGAAAGAAACTTGTTGTGTATTATCATCCAAAACATAATGGCTTACATGAAGACGGTGTAGCAATAAGAGAAAGTTAAAAAAAAAAAAATAGACAATGCATGATAGGTTTGAGACCTGGTCATGATCTAATTAGAGTTTCCTAAGTATCCCACAACCAATTAGGCAAAAAGCAGGACAAAGTATGAACTAGTGGTGTGGAAGAGGGACCCGACTTCTCTGCCCTCCTAGTTCTCATACACTTCCATTCTCTCATATTTTGTACGGTCACGGTTAAGCTTTGTCAACATTTTATATTGATTTTTTTTTATCAAGATAATAAGATAAAAAATAATAATGATATAAAATGTTAACGTAACTTAACCGTGATCGCACAAATAGGAAGAGATGAGAGTGTATGAAAATTGGAATGGCAAAGAAGCCAGATCCGTAGAAGAGAAACCCAACTGACCAAATACTATGAATCCAGTGACATTATCGGAAAATAATTTTAATTGTAATTTCAGATAAGATTTTTAATCGTTCTCATTGCGCCACATGTCATTATCGGAAAAATTATTAAATAATACAAAATAATTTTATTTGTAATTTCGGATAAGATTTTTAATCGTTCTCGTTGCGCCACCTGCATTAGTAGTCATCTTGTTGAAAAAAATTGGATTGAAACTTTGAGAGAAAGATAGGAATGTGATTGAAAGTAGTTGAGAAAATATGAAATTGTGGTATAAGGTAGATGATAATTAGAAGGTTTTATAGAAAAGTAAAAACAATTTTTTTTAAAAAAAAATCAGATTTTTTTTTGGATTTTTTACAATTTTTTTTAAATTTTTATTCAACTAATTAATATCCGCCGTTGGATATAAAAAAATTTGAATTCCAACACTCCAGACTGTGCCACGTGTCACAACGGTAACTTTTCTTAATTTTAAAACTATTTTTTCTTTTATTTATTTATTTATAAAGCATATTAATATCAACCGTTGATCTCATATCGAACGGTTGATATTAAATAAGATTTCATTTTTTTTTTTTTTACCGTTGAGATCAAACGGTTCAAGTTAAAGAGCCGTTGAGATCGAACAGATCGTGGGAAGCCACGTGGCTTCCTAACGGTAACATTTCAATTTGAAAAGTTGGCTGCTTTTTCTGAAATTATGTTGGGCAATGCGCCCCCACGCGTGAGTGGGGTGCCCAGGCCTGACAAAAAAAATAAAAAAAGGGCCTGACGCCGGGTTGACGTTAGCCCTGTCGTCACATCCACTCGAATTCTCGGGCTAACAATTCTTCACAAGTTCGAAACTCGGGCCTCCACCTCCACTTGAGTTCCTTCACGCTAGAGCAAATCCACATGGCCTCGAGCCCTTTTCTCTAGCCTGTCCCCCAAGCAATCCATCACGGTGGAGTTGTTCTTAGCAAAGGAAGTGGCCATGGAAGCATTGGAAAGAGCCAGCTGTCCAAGATATTGGCCGACAAACATGACTGATGTGACTTGTAAGCTGTACTGCAACAAGCTTACTGCAATATTCACAGGCCCTGCCGGCCATGGTTGCAATTTTGCTTCTTCAATAACATCCCCACCTCAAAAATTGTTTGCTGAGATGATATTTGCTTCACCATCAAATTCTTGATGGTTTGGAATTAGAGGAGTTCTTTCACAAAAATTATCAACTTTGCCACTTGAATCCTATTGTATTTGTTTCTTGAGAATCCATCCAGAAATAATAAAAAATAGAGAAAATATCAAACAATACATAAAATATGAGGTATAATACGATAGAACAACTTCCAAAACTTTCATAGTCACTTATTAATTTATCATTCATAATCTGTCATTTTTATTGGTGAATGACGACTCGCCCACAAAAGCAGCATTTTTAAAATTGCTGTTTTTTCAAGTTTGGTAAAAACATGATTAGTAGACATGCCAAACTTAAAAAAGCAAGATGTGTGATACATAAAGAATTTATCGATATTAACTCAATTTGTCGAGATATGTCGAACATGTGTTACATTAAATATATAGTAGGCACAAAAAATATCCGTATTAAACATTCAAATGGTCTTCATAAGACATTTGTATATTTTCCGAACTTAGAGTGGTCGTCGGACCACTTCGTCCCTACTTCCATCGCCCCCCCCCCCCACTACCCCCAACCACCAACCCCCCCGCCCCCACCACTGCAAGTCTGCCATAAACACACCAAACCTAAAAAGCAAGTCAACGTTCATAACATCTCGAGAAAAACAAGAACGGATCCACATAGGGACCTGGGAGGTCCCAAGACCCGTCGACGATCCTAAATCGCTGCTAGAAATTTTCCGGGGACCCTTCATACTCGAGCATGAGGTCTGTGCAGGTTGCAGTGACTGTCTTCTTCTCGGAGAAGATGACCGCGCACGGAGAAGAAAGGAAATAGGGACCCTTCCAGCTTCTCTCATCCTTGCTCTACCATGGTCTCATCCATCGGTGCCACCCACTTCTCCTCCAACCTTTCTCTGTCGTCTGGCGGGGTAGTACATAAGCCTAAATTTTTCCAAATTATTTCAACCACCTTGGTAATTTTTCTTATGGGCGAAATTTCCTACATAAGGTTAGTAAGATGGATATGATCTGTCATGGGTTGGTGAAATTTGGGGATGGAGCTGCCATGGCTTCGGGAGAATGGGGAGGGAGGCGGTTGGTGGAGGTGTGGCAGCTATGTTCTTAGTGAGAGAGAAGGTGGATGTTTGGAAACTAGTAAAAGAGAAAAATGGTGTGTTTTGTTAGAAAGATAATGGGAGTTTGGGAAGAGTTTTATTTGACCGGTGTTTTATAGTTAGTGGTCCATATAGATAATCAATAACTTAGGTACTCCCTAGTAACTTATGAAACCTCGTAATGGACACTTGAATTATGATTTTATAATTTGTAATATTGTTTTGCATATGATTTTTGACCTTTATTATTGGGACCCCCGAGTTTAAAATCCTGAATTCGCCACTAGAGAAAAATGAACCAATCCGACGTTATCAGTCTTTTATTAGAACAAAAGTTAACATTTTCTCCACTTTTATTTCTTTTATGCTCATTTCATATCTTTTTTTTAAATATTAGAGATAAATTAAAATTTTCTAACTTCATGCATCTTCTAATTTCAAAAAATTAGCTTAATATCTTCTAATAAAAAACTAATATTCTAACATAAATTCATTTGCAAAACATACGACGTAACTTAAGTAACAGATATTTGAATCTATATTATATTTGTAAGCAAGATATGAATGGGGTTTAGAGCAAGAAATAACAAAAAGAAAAATAAATAAGAAATAATAATTAAAGGGATAATTAGAAAGAAATTTAATTTTTAATGTGCTTCTTAAAAAAAAAATTACTTATGCTGTGAGAATGAACTCCTATAAAATAAAGCCGCACTTAGTAAACTTTTTTACCTAAAAGTGTTTTTACCAAAAAAATTGTGTTTGAGCGTTTGGGGGTATACTTGTCATTTCAAAATTTCATTAAATGGGCACCAATTGCTTTGAATTTTTTATTTTTTTTTTAAAGCATGGTAAACCATGTTTCTGTTTTTTTTTTTATGTTTTTCTAGTGTTACTGACAACAGTTATTAAAAACCACAATTTTTTTTTTGTTTTATCAAACACATTTGATGTTCTAGATTTTTAATAAACTGTTTTTTTTAAAGCACCATAATCTCAAACCAACCCTAAAACTTATCACTATAGAGATAATTATTAATAATAAAGTGATCCTAAATTTAAAAGATAGACTAAATTTAATAAACTGGACTATTTATAATATATTACGTAAGAAAAAGACTTAAATCAAGTTTGTTTTTGTGTGTAATATCTTCTTCTATTTTTTTTGTGGTATCTAAGCCCTAATCTTTGCCTCCTTTGTGGCCTAGCAAATAAATTAAGGATTCACAAAACCGCTCTGTTTTTTCCTGCTGTCATATTGGCTGTATATACGCAGAGTCGTATAAAAATGTGAACTTTTGGTCAATTTCCGTGAAATCTCATAACTTTCTCCCTCATCGGCTAGTGAGGCACGCGGCCCCCGACGATCCAGCTCCACGCTTCCGCTGCAGACTCCGCCATGGAAGAGAGCTTGCTGTTACCGAAATACGGAGAAGAAAGAAGAAGTAACACTAGTATTCTGACGTGGAGTTCTTTCTTCGAAGAAGTGAAAACGTTGGGATGCATAGCGGGTCCCATGGTTGCCGTGGTTTTATCTCAGTACCTGTTGCAGGTCATTTCGATGATGATGGTCGGCCACCTGGGCGAGCTCGCTCTCTCCAGCACCGCTATCGCCATCTCCCTCTCCGGCGTCACCGGCTTCAGTCTTTTCGTAAGTCTCTGGGCTAATTTGGTATTGATGTGCTTGGAAAAAAAATTATTTGCTGAGCAGAAATAAAGCAGTTTTTTTGTTAAAGTACTTTTGATTTATAGTCATTTTTTTCAGAACCAGTACCAAACTAGGCCTTTCCTTCCTCCTTTGTATCTTTTGGAATTAACGTCCAACTGTTTTTGTTGCTTATGAATCAAGATTGCATTGTTTTGCAAACTGCGTTATTCTAAACTACTATAATTTGTCGGGTGAGAGACTCGAACTCGGGTGCAGAAAGACCATAATGAACTGGCCTAACAGACGTCTGCCATATTCTACACCACCATTGTAGATTATACTTCTTATTGCAGATTGTCCTTGAATTTTTGCTCTAATCTTTACCCAGTAGCATTTGCATCTGGCTAGTTTGTATCACTTGCTCTGATATTATCTGATGAATACGAATACGAATACGACACGGATTCTAAAACTATATTACCAAAGACGTGTTGAAATGAATGACTCAATACATACACTGCACTGGGTCAAAGAGACGAGACAGAGTTACACAGCACAAAGAGATTGACCTGTTGACGTCTATTTCGTTTTTGGCTGTAATATATTTGGTTTCTTTTGCTTTGGCCAAAGGTTTCAGGTTTTATTGATTAATTAATCACTAGCACTTTGCCATCAATCATGAGGCCGGCTAATCACGGATTATATAAATTAACGCGAGTGTTGCTGGGGCATCTTTTGTTAATTTTCACTGGCACTGCATGACAACAGTTGCACATTCAGATTAATTTGTCTTCTCATAACTACTTTGTCCACTAAAGCGTTTCCTGTCTACTTTGCTTGGACACGACGGCATACCCTTGTATTTCCGTGGCGTGTTGTATCCCGTAACTGTGTCCATGTCCATGCATCGTAGTTTCTTGTATAAACATTGTCCACAAGTTAAATCTGTGTGCACCGTTGGTTTGTAAAAATACCAAAGATGTGAGGATGCTATGGTGTATATCTTGAAACTACTTAATGATAATCTTATAAGCACCAAATTGATGATGATTAAGTACGAATTTCGGCGTAGATGGCAAGTTTCAGTGTATTAATGCAATATTGAAACCATTAGCCGTGCATTGGTAAAGGGTTGATCATGTACTGGTTTTTATATAGATTTGTGTCTAATAACTAAGTGGATTTTGTAACTTGCTGTTTGAACAGTTGGGAATGGCTAGTGCGTTGGAGACGCTGTGTGGTCAAGCGTATGGAGCAGAACAATATCAGAAACTTGGACTCCAGACTTACACTGCTATATTTTCTCTCAACTTGGTCTGCCTTCCTTTATCTTTGATATGGATTTATATGGAGAAGTTACTGATTTTCATGGGTCAAGACCCAGTAATTTCTCGCGAAGCCGGCAAGTTCACAATCTGGCTTCTTCCCGCACTTTTCGCTTATGCCACTCTTCAGCCACTCATTAGATACTTTCAGACGCAAAGTTTAGTAATTCCTATGCTCATAAGTTCATGTGCGACCCTTCTGTTCCATATTCCTCTGTGTTGGCTTCTAGTATTCAAGTCTGGACTGAACAACCTTGGAGGAGCATTAGCAATCAGTATTTCGTATTGGGTGAATGTGATTCTACTTGCATTGTACATGAAGTTTTCTGATGCTTGTTCCAAAACCCGAGTTCCAATTTCTGTGGAGATCTTCCATGGAATCGGAGAGTTCTTCCGCTTTGCCATCCCTTCTGCAATAATGATATGGTAGTCAACTTCTTCCTTGCATTCTAGTCTCAAGAAGACGTTTACTATGCTTGATTCTTACAATATGTTCTGTCCAACGTCAATTCTTTTTTTTTTTTTTCTCCATTGATTTTCGTTGATGGTTGCAGCCTTGAATGGTGGTCATTTGAGCTGCTTATTTTGCTGTCTGGACTTTTACCAAATCCGGCTCTTGAAACTTCAGTTCTGTCTGTATGGTATATATTCTGTACAATAAAAATCAGTTTGTCAATTTGATCACCATGTAGAAAATATGTGATTATTCTCAACTGATTGTTCTGGACAGTCTGCAGACGATTTCGACACTCTATGCAATACCATATGGGTTTGGTGCTGCAGCAAGGTATGTTCATGCACATTTTTACCGTCAGATTACATTTATACCATCAGCTTATCTTTTTCTTTCTTTGCTTATTGTGCAGTACTAGAGTTTCAAATGAACTAGGAGCTGGTAACCCACAAGGTGCTCGAATAGCTACTTTTGCTGCAATGTTTCTTGCAGTCGCAGAGACAAGTATAATAACCACGACCCTCTTTGCCTGCCGCAATGTATTTGGTTACACTTTTAGTAATGAGAAAGAAGTTATCGATTACGTCACAACCATGGCTCCTCTAGTTTGCCTGTCTGTTACCCTTGACAGTTTTCAAGGGGTCCTTTCGGGTTTATTTCTTTATCTTCTCCTGTTAGCAGTAAATAATTGAGTTCTTTCATGTTTCAGTCTAATGTTATGTGTTTTGTGAATGGTTAAATCAGGTATTGCTAGAGGAACTGGGTGGCAGCATATAGGGGCTTACATAAACCTCGGAGCGTTTTATCTTTGCGGGATTCCAGTTGCAGCCACATTGGCTTTCTGGGTACAGCTGAGAGGAAGGGGCCTTTGGATTGGAATACAAGTCGGTGCTTTTGTGCAAACCATGATGCTCTCTTTAGTAACAAGTTGTACAAATTGGGAAAAGCAGGTCTGTTTCTCAACCCTAACTCTCTTCATAAAGTTAATCTTCTCCAGTTGCTTCGATTATTCCACTGTTTTCTGTTTGGTTGCCAAGAATCTGGGAGGGAAGACGAAGAACATTTTGTATCTTATGACTTCCATTCTCTTAAACTGTATCAATATGTGTTCTTTTTCTTCAAACTCCCCACTGCTTCGGTATTTCCTTGTTTCTTCTTGGCACTTAAACAGAGCACCTATCCAAAACTAATGGGAGTTGCCAGCCTTCCGCAGACACAACGTTTGATTAAACATGGCCTCCGAGAGGATTTTGATGTTGGTCTTTTGATGTTTCAGGCAAGTAAGGCAAGGGAGAGGATATTTGAGGGAAGGCCCCAACAAGCCAATGGCTTGTGTGACAAGGCAGAGAGTAATGAGTTTTGACGAGCACAATTCTCTCTGTAGCAGGATTAAGGAATAAAGTATTAGCTTGATCCATATTTCTGGCACCAAAATTTTTTGTAATAACGCATTCGAATATGGTTGATACATATAGGCTTGTGGCATTCGGTCTTGACTACGATCATGTGAAATAGACGTTTTGAAATGTAACATGGTGTCCTGCTCAAAATCTGTATCAGAATGTACGCGGCAGGTCCACTGCAATATCTGGCAAGAAAGAGCAACTGAGTTCTGATGAATCAGCAATTTTATAAAATGTGTGAAGTTGACAAAAACTCCGTTGAGTTAGTTTTGTTCTGCAATTTATCCACAATAAACGATTAAAATCACATACTTAATAGAAACATCACTTCTACTATATCAACCCATATTTTGAAAATTAACGTGTAGATTGAAAGATCATGACCCATATTTCAAAAATTAACGTGTAGATTGAAAGGTCATGGATTTGAATTGTAGAAATTGCTTTTTTGCAAAACAAGAATAAAATTACGTATGATAAACGTTCACCTACTTGCAAAATGGAGAATTTTGTTGACTCGGGTTGCCTTTTTTGACATGACAGCTTTATTTTACTGTAAATCAGCCCTGTAACACTTACTCTGTTCTTCTTTATGTCACATTGGCTCTGCTTTTGTAGCCTAACAAATAAAGATTTTCCATAATCCCTCTGTTTTTATGCATTCAATGCCTTTCTTATCTCACCAAAAAGGTAAACTTGCCATGTGAATGGTACGAGGGACCCGTTGTCATGGGAAGGGTGGGGGCTCAGAGGGGATGAAGGTAGAGATTGGAAAGGGAAGGTATTTTCAGTAAATTTAACGTTGGTTGACAAATAATTTTTTTAGTTTCCAAATCATACAGTCTATAACCCTTTTGACCAGTGGGGTATCCAACAAAGGTACAACGATTAGCACGAGGGTCGAATTTATGAGTAGGGTGAACAACAATAACAAAACACAAGCAACCAAAAACTTTCAAGTGGTCAAAAGATGATGGATGTTTATATAATAACTCAAAAGGGAATTTGTTTGATAACAAGGAAGATGGTAATCGGTTAATGAGATAGACAACGGTGGATACACACTCACCCCAAAATAAAGGGGGTACATGAGATTAGAAGCGTAGCTACATGCAACGGTGAGAATGTGATGATGCTTACGTTCGACAACGCCATTTTGTTGTGGAGTGTAAACACATGTGCGTTAATATTCAATGCCATTGGTTTGAAAAAAATCTTTCATGGACAAGAATTCATACCCATTGTCAACCCTTACTGCTTTTATATTTGCACGAAATTGTGTGTAAGCAATAGTAACAAAAGATTTTAAAAGGTGTTGAGTTTCAAATTTATGTTTCATAAAAAAAAACCCATGTGCACCTAGTAAAATCATCGACAATGGTAAGAAAGAATCGAGCTCCCAGATGTGTGGGAACTTTATGAGGACCCCATATATCACAATGTAACAAATCAAAGAGAGCATGAGTTGTTATAGAACTTAAAGGGAATGGAAGTTTGGTTTGTTTAGCAGTACAATTATTATTGAAAGAAAAATTGTTTGAGGACAAAGAAAAAATTACTAATTTAAGACGAGTAGGTGAAGGATGTCCAAGTCGCATATGCCACAAAAGGAAGGAATAGGAAACTTGACAGGAGAGAGGCGTTTGCTGCAACATGGACATTTAATAAATAAAGACCATCACGTTGCTTACCTGATCCAATCATCTTCCCCGTAGCCAAGTCTTGCAAGACACAGAAAGTGGGAAACAAAACGACACAACAGTTTAGATAATCAGTGACTTGACTGGCAGACATGAATTTAAGTGAAAAGAAGTAACACATAAAACATTGTTTAAGGTAATATTTGAATTGAATGGTATGGTTCCTGTAGAAGTGATTTTGGCTGAAGAGCTGATGGTAATTTAACAGTGGTTATTGATGAAGATGCGCTTTTGGGAAAAAAAAATGAAGAATCTGAAATGATACGATTGGTAGCTCCGCTATCTAAAATTCAAGGTTTAGGCCATCTCCAACCGAGGGCTGGCCAGATGGCTCGTTTTAGCCCTCTGACCCTCCAAGAAATTAATATTTTAATGAACAGTACATAATCATATTTGCTTCTATCTTCAACGAGGACCAAAGGGTTATAGAGCTTGTTTTAGCCATGTCACAAAAAACTGTCTCCAACCGAGGGCCAAAGGGCTATAAGACCAAACATAATTTATTATTTAAATTTAATGTTGTTTCATGTTACTTAATTTAATTTAATGTTGTATAATGGTTTAGGAAGTTATAGGAAACAAATAGATTTAAAAAATAAAAAAAACAATTTAAAAAAAATTCGTAAAAAAAAAAAATTTCAAAAATAACGGCTAGCTGATGTCAGCTAGCTGTTATATTTAAAATTTTCCATATTTGTGGCGGTTATAACCGCCACTACTTCTGTCAGATAGACGTTTATTTCAAAATTTTCCGGCTATTTGTACCATTTTCCTTTTTTCTATCGGTTATAACTGACAGCAAAATCGACACTACTTCAAAAATTTCCAGCCAGCCTGGGGCTGGCTGCATGTGGCCAGCCCTTTGGCCCTTTCAGATTTCATGAGGCCCACGAGCCCTCAGGCCTAGCTCTCAATTGGAGATGATTTTAGGGCTATTTTCGACCCTCTAACACTCTGAACCTTTCAGTTGGAGATGACCTTAGTATATGCAGAATTAATGGATGCAACAGTAGTTCAGCAGAAAGACCTTGCAACGGGTTCGGTGAAGCATGGGCAGCACGTGGGATGCTGCTGCCTTGGAGATGCTGCTGTGCTTTGTGACTTCCTCCATTCGTGCCATTTTTAAATCGATATTTGTCTTTAGTGTGCCCTCTTTTTATCACAGAACTTGCAATGATATTTTCGAGTCTGTGCATATACAATGTATAGGTCAAAACTTCTAAATTTCCAGCGTCCAAGGCTATTAGGCTTGGTTGATCATCCGCTCCTGAGGCAGCCGTGGAGACTGAGTTCCGCCATGGAAGAGAGCTTGCTATTGCCAAAATACAGAGAAGAGCAACAACGAAGCAGTAGAAATTCAAGCAGTAGTAGTAGTTGTCTAACATGGGTTTCTTTTTTTGAAGAAGTAAAGCGGTTGGGATGCATAGCAGGACCAATGGTTGCTGTGGTTCTATCCCAGTACATGCTGCGGTTTATTTCAATGATGATGGTTGGTCACCTGGGTGAACTTGCTCTCTCCAGCTCCTCCATAGCCATCTCCCTCGCCGGCGCCACCGGCTTCAGTCTTTTCGTAAGTCTATCTTCCATCTTCTTCTTGTTTTAATATCCATTGCTCTTTTTGATGTTTGGTTTCTGTTTGTGGAAATGCCAATTAACCTCACCATACATAGAATGCACAAAACTTCCTTTCTTTTGGCAATGCGATATTCTAAGCTGCTCTTGCCTATTTCTTATGCAAGACTTTACCTTTGAAGCTCCCACCCACCATTGTAAATTATGGGCTTTGCCATCATAATTAACGCCTAATCACGAATTATATGAAATAATGTGTGTTTAATTGGACTCTACTGCAGATTAATTTGTCTTTCCATAACTCCTTTGTCCACTGAAATGTTTCATGTACAGAAAATTGTTCCCAAACCATGCTGGGATCAATGCTGTGAGTGTTATATGTATATCATGGAACTTCTTAATGAGAATCTTAGAAACTACGATGCATGGAAGCGGACATGGACACGGGGATACAATCGACAGGGTCATATTAACACGGAGAATTGTTGTATGACCACGAAGGAATACGACATGAGGATACGAGGGAATACCATTGTGTCCATGCATCTATCTTACAACACAACTTACTGATAATATAGTATGAATTTTAGCATAGATGTAGTACTAATTGTTGGAATATTAATACTATTATATTAAATTTCTTAATTGAATGGAAATTATAAGTGATGCCTTTTGGTGAAAATATATGTCTATCCTAACGAAGAGTTGCAACTTTTGATTCTTCATGAATAGTCACATGCTTTCCAAAGAGATATCTCAAATTCTATAATTAGGGAAGCCTTCCACAGTCACTTAACAACTTTTACACTCACATATTCAAAGCACGATTGTTAAAGGGTTGTGTAATGTCCTATTGAGTTCATATGAGAGAGTTTTCAACATAATCGTGGTTCCTTGGAGCCTTGCGAGTGGAGTGCTACTATTACAAGGACGTGGTCGTTGTATCCTGGGAGACAAGCGCCGATCAACCATAAGCACCGTCTTGGGGCATAAACTTGTCTTAAGAACAGAGTGTACAAAATGTGCCTTGACCGTTTTTTCAAGCTTTTCTAATCCATTATGTCATGTTCATTTAACATTAGTTACGTACTCATGTGCATGCATTACTTTGATATATAATTGCATGAATTATTTCTTGATTTTCCATGTGATAGCAATTGGTCCATAATTTTTCCAACACTAATATCGAAATAATGACGATTTTCGTAGCGTAGATGTTTATAATCTGTGTCTAATAATCTATATGAACAGTTGGGAATGGCAAGTGCACTGGAAACTTTATGTGGGCAAGCATATGGAGCAGAGCAATATCAGAAACTTGGACTTCTAACGTACACTGCTATATTTTCTCTCAACATGGTTTGTCTTCCTTTATCTTTGGTATGGATTTATATGGAGGAGATACTGATTTTCACCGGTCAAGACCCTGCGATTTCTCGCGAAGCCGGAAAATACATAATCTGGCTTATTCCTGGTCTATTTGCTTATGCAACTCTTCAACCGCTGATTCGATACTTTCAAACACAGAGTTTAGTAATGCCTCTGCTCGTAACCTCTTTCGCCACCTTTTTATTTCATATTCCTCTCTGCTGGATTCTAATATTCAAGTCTGGATTAGAACACCTTGGAGGAGCATTAGCAATCGGCATTTCCTATTGGTTGAATGTGATTTTTCTTTGGTTATACATGAAGTTTTCCCCTGCCTGTTCAAAAACTCGTGCTCCAATTTCGAAGGATATATTCCATGGAATTGGAGAATTCTTTCGCTTTGCCCTCCCTTCTGCAGTAATGCAATGGTAGCCAGTTTCTCCCTGTATTTTAGTTTCAAGAAAAGATTTCGATATGCTTAATTTCTTAGTCTTACAATTTTCTCTGTCCTTTGTCTTGGTTCTTGTTGATGGTTGTAGCCTTGAGGGGTGGTCATTCGAGCTGCTTATATTGCTGTCTGGACTTTTACCAAATCCGGCTCTTGAAACCTCAGTTCTGTCTGCATGGTAAGTTTTCTGTTTTTGTTGCATTTTAGATGCCAATCAGATATTCTAAGGACGATGCAGGAAAAAAATTATAATTTCAGTTTGATCTCCATTTAGAAAGCTCGTGGTTATTCTAATTGATTGGTTGGACAGTCTTCTGGCGATTTCAACGGTCTATGCAATACCATATGGGTTTGGTGCTGCAGTAAGGTATGCTCAAACATTGAGCACTTAAGTCTCAACTCTGAAGTTCCATCAAACCGTACATATTTGCGTGCTAAATCGCAATGCAGCTAAATTTGCATAAAAATATCTCTAATAAGCAATAACTTGTCTTTTTCTTTCCTTTGGGTGTTCCACAGTACTAGAGTTTCAAATGAACTGGGAGCTGGTAATCCACAACATGCTCGTATAGCTACTTTTGCTGCGATGTTTCTTGCAGTTGCAGAGACAAGTATAACAACCACGACCCTCTATGCCTGCCGGAAAGTATTTGGTTACACTTTTAGCAACGAGAAAGAAGTCATCGATTACGTCACAGTCATGGTCCCTCTAGTTTGCCTGTCTGTCATACTAGACAGTATGCACGGGGTCCTTTCAGGTCAGTTGCCTTATCTTCTGCCAGTATTACTACACAATTAAGCATTGTTATAAGGAATAGTGTTTGGATCTAATGTGATATGTTTCTTGAACTGCTAAATCAGGTGTTGCTAGAGGAACTGGGTGGCAGCACATAGGGGCTTACATCAACCTTGGAGCATTTTATCTTTGTGGAATCCCCGTTGCTATCGTGTTGGCTTTCTGGACACAGCTAAGAGGAAGGGGCCTTTGGATTGGTATACAAGTTGGTGCTTTTGTGCAAGTTAGTCTGCTCGCTTTAGTAACAAGTTGTACAAATTGGGAAAAGCAGGTTAAATCCTCGACCCTAACTCGATCTTCTCCACATTCATTTCCAAAATTCTCTGTTTGGTTGCCAAGAAGTCGGGAGGAAAGATGAAGAACATTTTCTCTTACGAGTACAACGATATGTTCTTTTTGTTCAAACTCCCTACTTGAAAGCCAACCACAGACACAACATTTCATTAAGCACGACCTCCTTTTATGTGGTTTCGAGGATATTAAGGTTGGTCTTTTTAAGTTTCAGGCATGTAAGGCAAGGGAGAGGATATTTGACAGGAGCCCCCCTGGAAGTTAATGCCTTGTGTGACAAGGCAGAGAGTAATAACACATTCTCATATCATCGATACATATAGGCTTGTGGCATCCGGTCTTGACTACGATCAAGTGTGACGTTTTGAAATGCAACATGGTGTCCCGAGTCTCCTGATAGCGTTGCATTTGCTGCTCAAAATGACAATGAACGCGGGCAACAAAGAGCAGCTTAGTTCTTATGACCCATTGTTTGTACCCAATTTTAATCTATCTGCCCGTCCGTGCAATCGAGACCGTTGAGTGAGACCCTCTGATAGCTTCGAGAGTAAATAAATGTTTTTGATAACTTCTTTAAGATTTTATCATTCGTTTTTATCATGATAATCATCTTGGAGTTTTTATTTAAAATGTTTTGACAGCAACAAAGTAAAGATGATAGAGTCATTCTCCCACGCAATCACGGTTTCGATTTTTGCTTTCCAATTCCACAAATTCAAAAGAGATGAAGGATTGTTAAGGTGGAGAAATTTTTCATTGTAACAGGAACACAGGTGGTACATCACTTATTTTTATGTAAATGGTGAGAAATATTATTTTTTAAGTTATTAATTTTTTAACACATAAATCTCATCATTTATATAATGACATGTGGTGTACCATCTCGTGTGCCGATCACACTGAAAAATCTCTCGTTAAAGTGGGCACGTGTTTGGGATTTATGACTGTGCATGGCAGCATGGGGATTAGCTACCCTCCATGCAAATTATGCATGCACGGGGTGGTTGGTCAAAGCCTAAGGTGCCAAAAAATAAAAAGAAGAGATAAAGAATGCAAATTATGCATGCACGGCGTGGTTGGTCAAAGCCTAAGATGCCAAAAAATAAAAAGAAGAGATAAAGATGGAGTTTCATCCCCACCAAATTAAGATGAGGGTGCCAAATCACAAAAGGGGTTTGAAATATCAGGACTCTATCCTATTCTATTGCATGGTTTGAGTCGATCTGGTGCACGTGGCTTAAGTCGATAATACCAAGTGAGGATCATTTATCACAAGGAATATCTCGTATTCATTTTGTTCACTGGGAAGACTCACCCCGTAAATGTGAAGCTGCATACAACATTCAAGGACCTTCGAGACGACACACAAATCTATCATGTGCAAACTTTTGCTCTATGCGAAATCCTTTCATCTTTGAGAAAAATACAGATCTTCCTAACTTCGTTAAGCATACCTTGCAATTTGTAGAAATGGCTCTGTACTTAACAATCGGCGACATCTTACAATTTGTAGAAATAGCTCTGGAGCCGTAGAATCAAGTGATCAAGGAGTACCTTGCAATTTGTTGAAATAGCTCTACTCCAAATTCGGTTGATGATTTATCCAAATCTCTATCAACAAAGGGTCATTGCATCCTTGTTACAAGAGGTCACCTTATTAGCTTTCTTAACGAAGTGAGGTGTTACCAAGTTACGTCATTCAGCACATTGAAAGCCGAATATTTATTGAACTTCATATAAACTAGCAGTCTTGCCTTTAGGTTCTAGAACCCGAAAGCCGAGACAAGTTTCTTTCTCAGTTGCAGTCGCGAAAAACAGAAGTTAGCATCTCGTTCGACACCACCACCACTTATTTACTCATCAACCGAGCTCGAGCTCGATCACGAAGTTGGCACGCTCCGCATTCAACCAAGAAATGTAATTAGCTCATTAGCTATTCGGTCTGGACAACTTGGTAATTTTCAAGATAAACACTCATATATCGAAAATTAACGCGCATAGTATTTGCTCTGATTTTCTTGCTGTCACATTGGCTCTGCTTTTGTAGCCTAACAAATAAAGATTTCCCACAACTTCTCTGCTTTTATGCATAAAATGCCTTTCTCCTTATCTCTTCGTATCATGTGCACCAAAATGGAAATTTTTGGCATGTGTACTTAGGCCATCTCCAACCGATCCGGTGACAGGGTTATAGAGCTAAAAATAGCTCGTTTTGACATGAAAATCGTCTTTAATCGAGGGTTAGGGCAAAGGCCTCGTGGGCCCCACCTGACCAAAAATAGGAGAACCAGCCAATGGGCTGGCCAGCCCAAGCACATGCTACCTGACGTCAGGTTACAGTTTGATTTTTTTTTTTTGACGAAATTTAAAAAAAAAAATCTAATTTTTATTTATTTATAAACACTAAGTCATTTCTACCCCATTTTTCACATCATTTTCATCATTTCATACTATCTTACCTCATTTTTTTTTCAATTCTTCACCATTTTTTCACATCCTTTTTATTCTATAAAGATAAGAAATTTGAAGGCTTATTAATTTAGTGACAAGTGGCAGTCCAAAAATCTTATTTTAATATGGTAGTTCAATTTAATTAACCATATTAATTCAATTAAAATAATAAATTATGTTTGGCCTATGACCCTTTGGCCCCTTCGGTTGGAGATGATTTTTTGTCAAAGGGCTATGTTTAACCTATGACCCTTTAGCCCCCTCGGTTGGAGATAGTATAAAATATGGCCAAGCACTGTTCATTAATATATTTTTTTTTGCAAGGCTAAAGGGAGACATTTGGCCCTCCTTCGGCCATCTCCAACCAAAAGAGGCCCAAATGGCCATGTTTAGCCCTATAGTCATGCACAAAATTATATTTTAATGAATAGTGCTAGACCATATTTTATATCATCTCTAACCGAAGGGGCCAAAGGGCCATAGGCCAAACATAGTTATTTGACAAAAAATCATCTCCAACCGAAGGGGCGAAATGATCATAGGCCAAACATAATTTATTATTTTAATTAAATTAATATGGTTAATTAAATTAAACTATCATATTAAAATAAGGTTTTTGAACATATTTTGAGTGTCACTTGTTGCCAAATGAATAAGCCTTTGGATTTCTTATCGTTATATAATCTCAATAATTTTTTGGATAGGATTTCAAGTGAAACGTGTCGTTAACGTGAATCACTCTCGAGATTTCTTATCTTTATGTAATCTCAATAATTTTTTAGATAGGATTTCAAGTGACATGTGTCACTAAAGTGAGTAACTCTCCAGATTTCTTATCTTTATGTAATCTTAAAAAAATTTCGGATAGGATTTTGAGTGCCACGTGTCAATATGTAATTGGTTGTGCAAATTTTAGATATGATTCTTATTTACGTGACACTTCTTATTTTCAGCTTTCAATGTTGTAGGAATGATGTAGATATTTATAGGGAAAAAATTAGAATTTTTTTTTAAAATTCGTCCAAAAAAAAAAAAATTTCAAATTCCAACGGTAACATGATGACAGCAAGACGTTGCTAGCTGGCGTCATGCTGACGCCAGGTAACCATTAGCATTCAAATAGGCTGAGCTGGAGGGTTTGACATTTTGGAGCTAGAAGGCTGGCAAAATGTCAAGCTTGACATTCTAGCGCTGGAGGGTTGGTTGGCTGGCTGAAAATGGCCAGCCCGCTGGCCTGATTTGGGGGTTTGGGCCTGATGAAGCCCACATGCCCTTTAGCCTAACTCTCGGTTGGAGATGATTTTCGTGTCATTCTAAGCTATTTTTAACCATATGACTGGATCGGTTGGAGATGACCTTATTCCTTCGCATCACCTCATTAGTCAAAATTGGTTGCTCCACTTTTTTTTTTTTTTTTTCCTTTTTTATATGACTTTCTACGCTAAATTTATCTAAATTGTGGAAAGAGGCTCCAAGTGTGGCCTATAATCTTGCCTGTCTTGTGGCCAAGCAAATGAAGGCTTATTATTGCTCTGTTTTTCTTGCTGTCATGTTTGCTGTACACTAGGCAGCCTTTATTCATAAGAAAAAGGTAAACTTTTGGCCTGTGAATATACAATGTCCATGAAAGGTCAAAACTTTCCAAATCTCCAGCGTCCATAGGCTATTAGGCTTACTGGTTGATCATCAGCTCCTGAGGCAGCCTCCGCCAGAGTTCCGCCATGGAAGAGAGCTTGCTATTGCCAAAATACAGAGAAGAGCAACAAAGAAGCAGTATAAATTCAAGCAGTGGTAGTAGTTGTCTAACATGGGTTTCTTTTTTTGAAGAAGTAAAGAGGTTGGGATGCATAGCAGGACCAATGGTTGCTGTGGTACTATCCCAGTACATGCTGCGGTTTATTTCAATGATGATGGTTGGTCACCTGGGTGAACTTGCACTCTCCAGTTCCTCCATAGCCATCTCCCTCGTCGGCGTCACCGGCTTCAGTCTTTTCGTAAGTCTATATATCTTCCATCTTCTTGTTTTAATATCCACTGCTGTTTTTTATGTTTGGTTTCGGTTTGTGTAAATGCCAATTAACCTCACCATACATAGAATGCACAAAACTTCCATTCTTTTTTTTGAACAAAACTTTCGTATCTTTTTGCAATGCGATATTCTAAGCTGCTCTCGCTATTTGTAAGGATTTTGAACTCAAGTCATTATTGTGACATCCCACATCGTCCAGGGGTGTGATTCTTATATGTATATTCTCATCCCTACTTAGCACGAGGCCTTTTGGGAGCTCATTGGCTTCGGGATCGGTAGGAACTTCGAAGTTAAGCGAGTAGCGCGTGAGAGCAATCGAATGATGGGTGACCCACTGGGAAGTTGCTCGTGAGTTCCCAAAAACAAAACCGTGAGGGAATGGTAAGCCCAAAGCGGACAATATTGTGCTACGGTGGTGGAGCGGGCCCGAGAAGTGATCCGTCTCGGGTCGGGATGTGACAATTTGGTATCAGAGCCTAACCCTGGTCGCGTGTGTGCCGACGAGGACGTCGGGCCCCTAAGGGGGGTGGATTGTGATATCCCACATCGCCCAGGGGTGTGATTCTTATATGTATATTCCCATCCCTACTTAGCACGAGGCCTTTTG